TCATACTTACCACTGTTGTGGCACAAGGAGAACATGACAAATGTCTCATTAATTTTAAAATTAAAATAATAAAAATTAAAAAGGCAACGGGGTTTAACCCATTCTAGTTGGGTAATTGGATCCCAAACCCTAGACTTTTCCTATTCGTTTACTCCAGCATTTACCTCTATCTCATTTTCTCTCTCATCTTCAAGGATTAAATTCATGCCTTCCTTTTCTCTGAAGACACCCCTACTCTTAGTATAAAAACTAAACATAAAATTCTAAATCCTGTAAACCTAAAAGTTTTCCATCAAACCCAGAATTCAGTACGTATATTTTACATCAATTTGTAGATTCACTCGATATAAATCTTAGTTCATCAATTGAAATGGTTAATTAGTAAACAACAATAGCAGAGTAGAGTGCAAATTAAAGTCCATAGAAAACGGAATACAAAGTGTTGTATTGAAGATTAATGTAAAGGAAAGTTGAATTAGAGGTCAATCCAAATACGAGTTATAATTTTAATCGTCATTGTGCTTATAACCGAGGCTAGTCGAAGACAAATAAGGTTTGTAGTAAGAATAAGAATATAAGAGTCCGGTGAAGGGTCAAATGAATTTGCAGATTGTAGAGGCATATTAGAAAATGACCCAACTATTGTCTCTGTTCATACTTTAGACTATATAAGAGAATATATACGGGGTGTGCCTGGTGCACTAAGTCATCAGAGTCGTTTATTCATACTCGTGTTGTGCACTTGCCACACGGATTGTGCATGGACGGCTCTAATGTGCCCGGTGTACGGTGCAATGGGCACACTGAATACATTCTCCCTACACAAGGATGCTGCCAGAATTTGGAGAGGATTAAAATTTCAAAAAAAAATGGATTATGTTATAAATATATAAATAAAGAAATATATAAAATATATAATGAGACCAACCCAAAAAGGAAGTTTTATTACTTGGAAAGAATATACCATACAACATACTACCACACATATATATAGATGAGTTGCACCCCCTTTGTTTGCTTGCTCTTGATTTTGGTGCCTACCATCTTTGCATCATCAGACCAATCTTTCCATCTTTGCATCATCAAACCAATCCTTTATTACCATGTTACTATACCAATCTACTTGCAACTTGTTGCACCATCATACCAATCTTATATCACCACATCAATGTACCAATCAAATGCCTCCAACTAGTCACACCAACAAACTCTACCAATCAAAGTCCAATGTCTTACAACATTTATCCTCACAAAACACTACCATGTATAAACATATGAGTGGACCCACTTTTATGACACTCCCCCTTGGGTCCACTAATCTACACTAAGAAGATGCCTCGTTAAAACCTTGCTAGAAAAAACCTATTGGGATAAAAATCTAGCAAAGAAAAAAGAGTACAATATTCTTGTGTATGTGAAAATAGTATTGCATAGGTTAAAACTGACTCATTAAAACCTTGCCAGGAAAACCTGTGGGACAAAACCTGAGCGAAAAAAAAAGTTTCTCAACATGGTTTTGTAGTTCTATTCATTACTCCCCCTTATATGCATATTTGTTGCATTACTTCAGCATAGAAAATCTTTGAGTTTTAATATCGTGCATCAGTTTCTCAAATATTGTACCATAGAGCTCAACTACATGCACTATCGACTTACTTCATGAATTGCGAATATCTTGAAGTGATTTGAAGAAGTTTGTAATTTATTGTTTGCTTTATAGATCGCCTTGATATAGTAGTGTTACTACAAGTTAATCAGTTTCTTATTTGTGATCGAGCTTTATATGGATTCAAAAAGATAACCTGCATCTGCATATTCAACTAACTGAATTTGTCAAAGTAAAAATAAAAATGTAATTAAATCCATTATAGGAGAGTATGTCTCCTTATGTCAATACCAGGTATTTGAGAGAGACTTTATACTACCAATCATGCTTTGTATTTTAATTTCCCTTATTTCATTATAGTACAAATATTCATTTACAAACTTATTATTTTTAAGTGTCTGGACTATAGGTCCACGTATTTTTTAAATTTTGCATGTATTATTTCTTTTCATTTTGGCCAATCATTTTACATCGATGTTTTTGACATTCAGGATCCTTATTAGTGTCATAATATCAAGAGTAACTATAATTAAAAATATATATTGTCGACAATATTTTTCTTTTCACTATAATTTATTGAGATCTCATCATTGTCAGGTACATATGCCTCTTCAAGGGTATGTATCTCATTAAGAGCTATTAGTTCATCATGTTTAGGTACCTAGGCCTCATTAAGGACCTTTGCCCCATTAGGAGCTATTTGTTTAGAAAATCTAGATTGGTTAATCATTTTGTTGCTTTATTTATGAGAGTGTCATCTTCAAGAGTGCCAATTTCTGTATGTACCTTTTCATTTTGTTTCTCTCTTTAGAGTGGCCTCTCTAGAAGTGCCAACTCCTTTGTGCAATTTTTCTTATGCCTTCCTCTTTGGGAAAAGTATCTTTTGCACTAACAGGTCTACGACGCTTCAGGTGTATTTTAGATGTATTTGTTTCAATATTGATGGATTGTCTTATATGGATATCAATCCTATTTGGAAACTTTGCAATTGCCATATAATTACTTTCTTGATGCCACTGAATACTTAAAAGATTTTATCTAGTCTTCTAATTGCGACATTTCTCCCTCTAATGGTGGGAAAATTACAAAGATTTCCTTAAGGATATTATCTTTTAAAGATACAAGATATCTTATTAAAAAAAAAAAAATCCAAACCAAGTGTATTGCCCAGTCATTGCATTAGTCAAATTCATGCCTCTTTAAATATGCAATATTCATACGAATTTGAAAGAAATATAGATGAAAATACACTAAAAATAACACACTAGTTATTATACAATAAAAGAAACACATCAGCGATAATACAATAAAAGAAAACTAATACACTAGCTTTAATACAACAAAAGAAAAATAACACACTAGCAATAAAACGATGATGATCATTAATTGATGTGGACATCTCCATTACCAATCAAATGATCAATTTTGCCTCTTGGATCTTCAAAGAAATCTGAAACGTTAAAGTGAGCAATGTCCAATGCCTCACATATTTCTGCAACATTTGTTTCAATTTCTTTCCCTTTTTCCTTTTATTGAGGCTTAGTAAAGATCGATTAAATGCTTGGACGTTTGATAGACTTGTGACCAGTGCCTATTCATGCCACACCTATAACAAGCATCTTCATACTTCTTAGAATGTTTATCTTGTAAACCTTTCATTTTTTTCTTACTTGTTATCACTTGTATTTTCCTCCCGGTGGTACGGTGAGTAGTTTCTTCTGGGAGACATCGAGGAATGATAACTACCACGGTTAATGTAATTATTTCTACCGCGACCACAACTACGTCCACGACCATGTCCATAGCCGTGAAATGAGGATGTATTTATTTCAAGTAATAGATCCGATTCGGTTGGACGGTTTTTTAATAAAAGTTCATTATTTTGTTCGACCACCAATAAGCATGAAATCAACTCCAAATACTTAATGAACTGATGTTCTCGATACTACTGCTGGAGGAGCACGTTCGAGACATGGAATGTGGAGTAGGTTTTTTTTTCTAGCATGTCCTCATCAGTAATATTTTCTCCACATAACATTAACTGTGAGCTGATTTTGAATAAGGCCGAATTATATTCGCTCACACTTTTGAAATCCTGTAGACGCAGGTGTATCCATTCATATCTAGCCATTAAAAGGATTATAGTCCTTTAATGCTTATACCGTTCCTTCAAATTTTTCCAAAGTGTGAGTGTGTCTTTAACAGTGAGGTACTCACTTTTCAATTCCTCATGTATATGACGCCGAAGGAAAATTATTGACTTTGCTCGATCTTGCAGAGATGTTTCATTTCCTTCTGTAGTTGTGTTTTCGAGATTCATTGTATCCAAGTGGATTTCAGCATCAAGGATCCAAGATATATAATTCTTGCCCGAAATATCAAGGGCAACAAATTCAAGCTTTGTTAGATTCGACATTCTCGGAATACTATAAATGATAAAATAACATAGTTATGATTATATAAATAAAATGACATAAGTTCCAATCTTAAAATTATCATAACATGAGAAAAAAAAAAAAAAAATGGTATATTAATAAACAGAATGCTGAAAGAAAAATAGACAATACAATATTGCATTTCTATATACATGTATATAACAATAATAATAATAATAATAATTAAAATATTTAAATTGGTGAAATATAATTTATTTTCTTATCCTTTGGTGTGAGAAAGAAAAATAGAGTTTTTTTTTTCACTTGATTAGAGCGTCATACTGATAACGTGTTATGAATATAAATAAAAATATATATAACATATATAATGAGACCTACAAAAAAGTAAGTTTTATTACTTGGAAGAATATTATACCATACAACATATTACCACACACACACACATACATATACATATATATATATATACATACATATACATATATATATATATGTATATGTATGTATATATATATATATATATATGTATATGTTTGCTTGCTCCATTTCGACGCCTACCATCTTTGCATCATCATACCAATCCTTTGTGACTATGCTACTATACCAATCTACTTGTAACTTGTTTGTAACTACGTTACTATACCAATCTACTTGTAACTTGATGCACCATCATAACAATCTTATATCACCGCATCAATGTACCAATCAAATGCCTCTAACTAGTCACACCAACAAACTCTACCAATCAAAGTCCAATGTCTTGCAACATTTACCCTCACAAAACACTTCCATGTACTAATATATGAATGGACCCAACTTTATAAGGGCTTAAACTCCATTTTCTTTTTAATTTTATTCTTTAAAATTTTAAAATTAAAGAGGACACTTGTCAGGTTATCCTTGTGGCACACCAATGTGTAGTCCCCATCATGGTGGTTTCCCTATTCTTTATTTAATTTGGAGGCGGAGTCCACATCACCTAAAAGAACCAAGTTGGTCCTGATAGCGTTACCTAATATTCTCCTTTTATTTATTTTTTGAATTTGAATTCATTATTTCCAGGGTTGAGAAAATACATTTTGATAATATTGATTTCGGAATTTGAGAGGGAAAAATGGCGAAGGGGCAAAATCTGTCTGCGGACGTGACTCAGTTAATCGATCAGTTGGACCGCCACTGCTTGGCCCCTGATGGATCTCTAGTCTCCAAATCTGCCTATTACGATCTCCAACTAGTACCCGCTTTTTCTCTCTATGGATATATATATATATATATATATATATATATATATAGACACACATGCATACCCATTTATTGTTTACTGGTTGATTGATGTTTTTGCAGGCTAGAGAGGAAATGTCCAGAGAAAGACTTCGCTACTTGGAAGCAATGGTATTGTTATGCTTCCACAATATTAGGAATTAATCACTGCCTAGTAGTGTTCATTCGTGTTTTTTGGTGTTTGGGGAATTAGGGTTTGTGTTTCTTGTACTATTGTGACAATTGAATGAACCCGTCTGTTCTTTTTTTTTTTTAAGTTTATGATGCAATTTATTTTATTTTATTTTCTGTGGTGGACAATGTAGGCAATATACTGTGAGGCTATTGCCTTGGTTGAAGAATATCAGCAGGTTGTTACAGTAGCAAACCTTGGAGGTATTAGAGATGTCCAGGGTCTGTACCCACTATTGGGTTTGAAGAACTCTCCTCAGGTTTCACTTTTCCTTACTTTACATTTTCTCTGTTTTGTAGAAAATTGGCATGTCTCTTGACATTTTTGGGTTATATATCTAGTCTTTAATTTCAATTAGTTCAGTAGGTAACACAGTTTTGAATATTTAGTTTATGTTAAATAATGTAGGCACTGAGGCAATCAGAGCGACATTTTTTACTATAATCTAAATACTTCGTGATATGGTAAGTGCAATGCATATGGAATTTTGAAATATAAGATACATTTTGTGGTTATGAGTGTGTGTTTTAGGTATGAGGCGAAGCAAAACAACTAAATTTCATGCTCTTGCATCAAATGTCAAGATGTTTGTTACTAGGATTTACTTGAGCAATTGATGGCCATGTTTTGGCATTCAGTGAAAAATGATGTTTATCAAGAGGATTTAGTTAAACTCATCGTTATTATTAACAATAATCGAAGTTAAATAACTAATGATGACAAATCCAATATTTTACAGGTTTACGAGGCTCTTGAGCACCGGCTAGTTGTTGCAGAAGCAGCTCAAAAATTGAGGCTCCCTTTGATTTCCAAAGACGGTGAGATTCACGAGGAAGAAATTGAAAAGTGGAGTATAATGTCAAGAAGCTCTCTTGATAGTATGAGTACAAGTGTCACCATTAGCTCAAGCTCAAATTCAACAAATTATACAAATATCTTTATAACTAGTGCTGGTGGTGCAGCAAATAATGCTCTTACCAGCAACACTACTGATACAGAGGAACCTGGAGTTGGTGGTGTTCCTAATAGATTCCTTGGAATAACACCTGCTTATTTATGGCAAACTCAGCTCCAACAAGCACCATTATCCATGGTACGTGAATATTGGTGATGAAAATTTGATGGATGAATAGAGCCGACGAATGTTAATAAAATGTAGATATTTTTTCCATGCTTTTTGTGAAGCTCCATCTAGTGTTGTTAAAGGTGCGCCTAGACTTGAGGTGCAGGTCTAGCGCCTATTGTTTACTAGGCGCGCTCCTCGTCATGTTTGTCAGGCGCGCTCCTCGTCATGTTTGTCAGGCGCGCCTCACTAAGTTTTTTAAAAAAACTATGATTATTCTATTTCTTAATCCAAAAAGGGTACTTTTGGCAACTTAATAAACAAGCCCTAGTAGTAGAGATGAAGGATGAACCACATCAGTTCTTTCTTCTTCTTCTCCCTCTTCTCATCTACTTCTCTCTCCTCTCTTCTCCTGTACTTCTCTCTCTCCTCTCTTCTCCTGTACTTCTCTCTTCTTATCTTAGTTTTCATCTCTCTCAAGAAAACAATTTGTGCTCTGTTTTATGGTTGTTGGATGCTTGTTTAGTTGATTGATTTACTTTTTTATATGATGTTTTTATGGTAGTTTAAATTTTCAATTGTGCCCTCATTTCACTCAGGCGCGCGCCTAGGCTCCAAAGGACCTCTAGCGCCTTGGGCTTTTAATAAAATTGGCTCTATCTGTATCCATATGCGAAATTCATAAGCTTTTTAGCTTGTTGTTAATTGTTGTGATCTATAGTCATGCAATTCTTTTCCATGTTCTTTTTCTTCTTCTGAGTGAATCATTTATAATGTTAAAGAATTAATTAATCATTTTGATCCTCTGTAATTATAGGACATGGCAGAGTACCAGATGTCGCTTTTATGCGAGATTGAGGGTCGTTTAAAATCCAAGTGTGATAAATTAGCAGATGCCTTCGTAATAGATGACATGGGTCAGTCATAAGTACTTACTCTCTCTCTCTCTCTGTCTCTCTCTCTCCACAAGCACAGACTCATACATGTATTTATATTTTATATATGTCTGCCTATTGAGTGTCATACTTTATCATTGTGACCTACCTTTTGGGGATAGGTAGTCCTTTTTTGTCATACCCTTTCCGAATAACTAGCTAAATTTGTGCATCATGACTGAAGATTTGGATGTTCACTATTATAATGAGTCTGGTTCAAGAAGCCAGGATAGATTACCATGATGCATGAACTTTTTTTGAGCGTGGATGTTTTAGAAGAGGGTTTCTAGCCCTTGGAAGATTGTTCACACATACTGGTGCATGCCGCGTTTGTTTGTGTGTTTATATTATTTATAAGTGCATCATTTTTATGAGGAACTATATAAAATATAAAGTAATATACCTATATAAAGAGAGATTCTATGCATAAATTTACCTTTCTTTTGGGTGATGCAGACTCTTCAACTGGTAGTCAAAATTCAAATGCTCGGCTTCTAGAAAGGTTTGTTTTTTTAATATTTATTTATTTTTTTCGCATACTGTCATCATTTTTATATCTTCCCTAATTGTCAAGTCAATGGGGACATACTATATTTTCGGATTGTTTGAATTTTGATAAAAGAATAGTTTATGTTTTTTTTTTTTTTTTTTCGAATAGTAAGAACAGCTTAACAAAATGATATTGAACAAATAAATAATTTCTAATGTTTGAACTTTAAAGCCAATTTTGAATTTTTCTTCATCCTACTTCTATTTCTTCTCTAACTGATTGCTTCCAAAACAAGTAGAGAACATTATTAAAACTGTCTTCAAGTTTTATCTTTTACTCAGGACTGGCTTTTTCTGGACCTAACCTTATTTTGATCAGTTGAAACATGAATATGCATAATATGCTGAAACTTCAAAAAGATGCCTCAACCCATCATGATGAAATGAATAAGGTTTTCCTTATTTATACCTCCATGCTTGAAATTTTATTCAGACAACGAGATGGCTATTCGGTCTGAGTCATCTCACACTTTACATTACTTCATTGCTAATGAAAACACAACATGACAATGCTTACATCTTTCTGGAAATTTTCTTTCTATTTTAAAAACTACCTAGGGCTTGTTTGGTGCGGCTAAATGGAATCAATTAAGAGGGAATGGGAATGGTTTTTATTCCATTCCCATGTTTGGTAGGTTAAATTGAAGTTGGAAAAAGAATCAAGAGGCATTCTTTGGGAATGACCATTCCCTCTATTTCATTCCCTATTTTTAACAATGGAATGAGCATTCCATTCCCACATGGAATAGAATTAAAAAAATTATGACCAAAAAACCATTCATCATCTCTTCCCATCACGTCTTTATTCTCTTCCAATCCACCCCTTCATATCAGATCTGTTATACTCCTCCCCATAATCCAGCCTTCTTCCCCCCGCTGCCATCATCATCTCCTCTCTCTCACAGTGGAACATACAAGAACACACAACACAACCCAACCCAACCCAACACAACCAGTCCATCCTCTCATGCTCACCATTAGTTCACCGCCATCTTGCTGACGATTCAAAAGCTCAATTCAGACCCACCTCGCCAGTAAGTTCAGCACCGCCGCCCTTCTTGATCGCCGTTAGTCTCACCATTGCTCGCCTATTTTGTCCACAGACCGCTGATTCACCGCTGACCACTTCAACTTCATTTGACTGAATTGCAAGCTTCACCGATGAAATTTGTGACGGAGCTTGGATCACCGCCGTTCGTTGCCGCCGATGAAATCAGATCCGTCCTCCCCTTTGTTCGATCGCTTCCTTCTTCCCATTGCCTTTTCTCGCCCCAATCTCCAACACCTCCTTTCATTTGCCCAGTTCTTTCTTCTCTCTAATTTCTCTCTCTATCTCTTGCCCCAATTTCGTTCTTACAGACCTCTTTCTTACCACTGGATTAGAAAAAATTTCTTTAGGACATTAATTTTTTAGTTAAAACTTTTTTATTAATGATAAAAGGTAATTTGGAGAAAACAATATAAATTCATTCCATTTCAATTTTTACGTTAATCCAATCAAACAAGTGAATGGAAATAATCATATCATTTTTACACATTCCATGTTTGCATCCAAACAGGAGAATGGGATTTATCATTCCCATTCCATTCCATTCTCATTCCATTCCTAGTTTTATTCCCATTCCATTCCAATTCATTCTTGCACACTAAACTAGCCCCTAGTGCTGCCATATATTAATATGTTTAGTGCTTTCTCGAAAGATTGTTAGCCTTATTTTTGTGGTCTTCTTACTAATCATCAAAACAGGGCAAAGTTAGTTATTGAGGAGATCGAGAGGGAAGAGGCATGTTTACAGGAGGATCTATATTCTGCAGATAGAAAATTGGCAGAATATTTCAATGTATGTGAGTGAGTTTTCTGCAATATTTATATAGTTTGTGTCCTTTCATCTTTTCTCTGAGCGTCTCCAACGCTCTCTCAAATGTCATCTCAAACTCAAAATATAGGAGATTTTGTTTTTTGTGATACACTCCAATGGTGTGCTATACACCCTCTCATAATATGAGATTCTCAAAACTTTTCTCATATATAGCAGGTTGCTATAAGTTGAGAACTTTAGATGCTAAACCTTTTAAAGGATTTTTGTGCAGACATGGGCTGGAAAGTCACATGGGAAAGCAAGAATAATGCATTGATTAAAATAAGGAAAGTAATGGTCAAAGTGTCAGCACAATTGGAGCAGTATTGCTAAAATATACCCCCTCCATCCCACATTAGAGGTACATATATAGAAATTAGAGTTTTTAAGGGGACATGCATTTAATGCATTGTCCCCTTTTAAAATTACCAACTTGTCCCTTCTAATTTAAATATACATAGTTACAAAGTTTGAATTTTTTTAAAAAGATAAAGGACAATGATGGAAATATAGAACTTATTTGTTTTGACTTTCCAAAGAGGACAACTAATTTGGGACATGTAAAAAGAGAAAAATGGACTACTAATATGGGACGGAGGGAGTAGCATTTTGGATGAAATGCACCATTGGAGTAGAATTGCTAAAATATAGCATTTTGGATGAAATGTAGCATTGGAGTAGAATTGCTAAAATATAGCATTTTGGCACTGTAGCTCTTAAAATATAACTTTACCATGGAGAAATAGCATTTTGCATTGGAGAGGCTCTCAGTCCATTTTTTTTTTTATCAAAACATTTGCATTGCAGTGTACTTTCTTTATTATAAGCAGGGGTCTTATGCTATACTGATGGTATGTCATTCATAATCTATTTTGCCCCTGGAAGGTCTTAGAGCAGATACTTGGAGTGCTTATCAAACTGGTTAAAGATTTGAAGCTGCAACATCAACATAAATATGTAAGCTTTCTTGTTCCAGTTATCTCAAATGTTAAGGTTGTACTTTGAGCGTTATATAAAATGATATTTAATGGAATAATATTAGCTGAAAGCATTTTCTATGTTGTTCTTTTCCTCCTATGAGAGACCTGTAGACTAAATTTTATGTTATTATTCAATAGGATGAACTGCAAAAAACTTGGCTGTGCAAAAGGTGTGAAACCATGAATGCGAAATTGAGGTTTGTTTCACCAGTTGCTTTTATTTTACTCCTTAAATCTTGAATATTCTTTAGCGTTTTATCATTCATAGTTAATTTAAAGTAGGCTTGGAGGAATTTGAAAAGATTCTTCCAGGGGTTAGCATCACAAGAAGCATGATGCAGGTAAAAACTGATAAGACATTATACTATTTGGACGAGGATTGCTTATGTTTTCAACAATAAGCATCAAATCAACCATCTGAAAATGTCGAGTGCCCTTTTAGAATTCTAAATGTCTAATATTCTTGACTCATTCTAGAGATGTGAGTTAAGAAACATAAAGTTGCATGATTCTCCTTACCACCCAGCTTTCAAATTAAGTGACATCTCCTACTATGGGTATCAGGCACCGATCCATTACCACAAGCGTCTTTACTTACCACCAACTTTCAGATCAGGTGACATCACGAAGTGTCACAATAGCAATTATCCTTCATGACTAGACTATTGTCATCATTGCAAGAGTGGTTTCGAGGATGTCTAGAAGTAGACATCTATCTCTAAATGGTGATCTTTGTTTTCTATCTCTTCGATTTTTACCTCTAGCCTCACCGCCTTCTCTAGAGGCACATAAGATCGGGTAACATCACTAAGTGTCACAATAGCAATTATCCTTCATGACTAGACTATTATCATCATTGCAGGAGTGGTTTCGAGGATGTCTAGAAGTAGACATCTATCTCTAAATGGTGATCTTTATTTTCTCTCTCTTCAATTTTTACCTCTAGCCTCACCGTCTTCTCTAGAGGCACATAACTTTCGAACTAGACCCATAACCTTTTGAACAGGCATATATTGGCGATGAATTCCTGTCTATATCTACATGACAAGAACGTCTTCTCATTATAGAAATTTGTTGTGAGAACCTCTTCTCTCATATTAGCATTGCTCGAGGACACATGGCGAGGAACCCTTTTACTGAAAAAAATATTGCTTGAAGTGCATCACGAGGACCTTTGAACTTCTCTCCTATGGATTAGCCTCGCTGTGAAGACTGAAAGCATAATGATGCTCCTCGTGAACTATTTGAGCTAGGAGCAGGACTTGGGAGGTCTCTATGAGCTTGGTGTATGGCAAATAGTCATGGCTCACCACAGGGTTAAATAGCCTTATGTAATTCTACAGGAACCTGTGGTACAGTTACAAACCTAACCTGACTTAGAGAGAGAGAGAGAGAGACCATTTTGACTCCCAAGCGACCAGTGCCCATTTTGACACTATGCTTGATCACAAAGTGTCAGAGGTTCTCCATTTCATCATTTTCTTACAACATTGAATGAGTCCCTCCCCCGTACTGCATTAAATCACCAAGCTGGGCTGGTGTTGCTAGATTGAGAAACTATCTGACATACTTGTAGACCTGTGGACCTCTACATTAATCAGGCCTCTAGACTGTCCCAGCCTCTACATGTCATCCAGACCTTTAGACTTGGGTTAGACCTCTATACTTGAGACAGACCTCGAGCATGAATTTGACCTCACGGAGTTTGTGTTGACTTCTATAGTCTATTCTGCCTCTCTCTCTCTCTCGCGCGCGCGCGCACGCACACACGCACGCACACACGCACAAGTCGGTCCAACTTCCACCTAACTCAAATTACTCAATCTACCTGTGAGCTCTATTATATTATGTCTTTTTACTTCTATCTCCTAGTCATCAACTTGAGCTTACACCGTACCACCCCAAATTGGAGGTGCAGGGTCCAAGTTCAGCAAAGGATGTGGTATTTTGTGTTGTATTTATTACAAAAAGAGGGAGGAGGGGGGGAAACAGAAAGAAGCTTTCACCGTTTTAGTTGTTCTTAATTTATAGATGGGATTGGTGGTATGATAACTTGTATTTAGGAAAGGTGACATGCAATTTTGTTTCCTTTCAGATTTCTTTTTGTTTTACAATTGAATTGAGTAGATATTAGTTAGTATGGACTATGATATATTTGCTGAACCAAACTTGTTGGCTGAAGCTGTTTAGAGCATGAAAATTTTTGAGATATTTTCAAATTGTTGCTTGAAGCCTAGATATCAAAGTTTCTTTGTTTTCTATTCGCGAAGTAAGCTTCATAGTTCGTTAAATACATATAATGAACTGCAATCGTTAGAAGGCTAATATCACTGCTGGACCCTGAGATTGGTGTCTACTAATCACTTAATAAGCAGATTGCCTTAAGCAGCTTCATTGAGAATACTCAGTGGAAGGTTGATGGAATTCCATTGGAAGTCCAACGATGCATGCAGCAGATTAGGATATATGGTGGTGAGGATCAGATTTTATGGAAGCACAAGATGTTTAATTTTAAAGAAGCTTGGGAAGCATGTAGAGCTGCAAAACCAGTTGTTCCCTGGTTTGGAATGGAGGTAGACCTAGATGGTCTGTTTATTGTTCATTGATATTGCAGGATGCTGTCTTGACTGGTTCAAATCTGCAGAGGAGAGGCATATCCCTAGCAACTGTATGCCGTCTTTGTGGCAGGAATGAAGAACATGTTTGTAGCTTGTGAGTATACTTGGGAAGTTTGGTGTGGTTTAGCTAATATGTTCTATTGGAGGGTCCAGAAACAGAATGGTGTGAGAGGTTTTACAATTGCTATGAGACAGCAGTTTCATGTCAAGTCCTGCAGGAATAAGGTTTTCAAGATGCTATTTACAGCTACTATGTACTCCTATCATATTTGGACTGAAAGGAATGGAAGACTTAACAAGGATTTAGTTAGGGTTCCTTCCATTCTTCTTAAATGTATTGTCTGGGATGTTTTAGATATTACGGGGTATGTCTCCAAGATATTATAAGCTAGTTAGGGGCTTAGGGCTTGTGCAGGGTTTGTCTGCCTTTTTCTAGGCTTTCTAAGTGTGTGATTCAGTGAGGTTGTTTAACCTCACTTCCTTCTTTGTACCATATTGTTATATGTTTATAAAATTTTCTTCATTTAGGAAAAAAAAAAAATAATATCACTGCTGGACGATCCAGCCAGCCCTCGACACTTGAATGAGATGTCAATTGCCTTTCTCCACCCACTCTCTGACTTGAAAGATTTTTACGGTTCTTCGCCGATTCAAATGGTCGACTACCCTACCTGATATATTCCTTCAAGAAGTTCTCCATTTATGGATAGAGTGAAGTTGGTGAAACTTCAAGTGTTCATCAGAAATTATTGACCTGAAAGTGCCTCGATCATGGTAAATACAACTACTTGTCCAGAGAAGCTCGGATAGTATGTTAAGATAATCACCTGGCCTAAAAGGTTAAGCTATCAGGAGTGGGCCAAATAATATATATCAGGCTCTCAATTTTATGTTGTTAACTATTTTGAGAGCATCTATATGTTTTAAAATTTGTTATAAATTTTCCGTCAGCATTAAGCCCCAGAGTAGAATCTAATCAATTTTGCACGAAAAAAATTTTGCTCATTATTTTAATATTTTATGTCCCATTGTTGTCTTAGGGTTCTTGAACATATTCTCCTTCTTGAGACGTATACTCAGGACTCAATTCCAGCACTCCATAAAATAAGGTAAAGTATGATGACAAATATCTCCAGTTTGGTATTCAGTTCATGATGAGGATTTTGATTGGTGTAACCTTTTGTTCTAGGAAATATCTGGTTGAAGCTACGGAAGAAGCTTCACTAGCATACAATAAAGCAGTATGTTTCTCTATTATGGTAGTGTTATAGACATTGCTAGATATTATTTTTATTTATTTATTGTTTGTATGTGGTATTTGGTTGTACTGTTGACTATAGAATCTCTAATGTTATGGATGTATGGGGAATTCAAATAGTAGTTAAAGAATTTCACTGGCTTCTCTTAACTTTTTGTGAATTCTAGTACGATTGTTATCTGTAGGCCAAGGGATTGATCGTAAAAGGGTTAAGACTTTTTCCTTGAGCAGTCTACTTCCTTGGTATGGAATCCAGAGGGTGACAATTTAGCCCGTTGTCATTTTTTTGGATGCTTAGCCATTTTAAAGTTCTGTTGTGATGCCTAATTGTTTGGTAAGTCCAGTGGTACTTGTGTCGACTCTGAAGGGGCTTCAGTCCCCTTGTTGCTTAGTGAGAAGGAAATACTCCATACAGCCTTTTGTGTATGAATGTGTTTTTGGTTGCTGCGTGTGTTTTATACCAAATTTTGCAAATTTAACAGGTCACGCGCCTTCGTGAGTATCAAGGTGTTGATCCTCACTTCGATACGATTGCCAGGCAGTACCATGATATAGTAAAGGTAATGTGACTTTGCTTTTTTTTTTTTTTTGGTTTTGCTTTTGGTAAGTTCTTCAGTTGATTCTGATTTCAACATTTCCTTGCAGAAACTGGAAAACATGCAATGGACAATTCGCCAAGTCGAGATGGACCTGAAACGCTTACCAGATCACCCCAGCACCTAATATATACATACATATATATATATTCATTTTGTTTTGTAATTGAAATTGTTTTCATCTTCAGTTGTGTTTTTGGTCAAAGCACCTATCTGATTTCTTTTCCTGTTTTGTGTAACACCATAGTATGTGATATTTTTTAAAAGGATGATTTTTTGTGGTTGCTAGAAATTCTGAACTCTTAACTTGACGGCGGGGAGTATTTTACAATTTTTTTTTTTTATATTCTTTAATGGTTGCAAGAAATTCAAATTCATATATTTATTCTAGATTCTTAAAAAGAGATTGTTTAAATTTTCAAACATGAAATGATTACTTAAAAGAATTAAAAAATAATATATATGTTAACTAATAAAACTAAAAGTATCAATATATTTTGTTTGTAAATGTGTCTATACAATGTATAAACACATATAATATTTATAGACTTAAATAAGAAAACAAAAATGAGCAATACAGTAATGATATATTTTTTTACCAATGTTTTCACATTTTTAACCTTTATAATTCCGTGTTAGGCACATTTAGTTATTACCATCAATAATAAATGTCCCGTGAGATGGCAAGCCTATGTGTTTAAAAAGGGCTGGATATCTTACCTAGTAAAGAGTGTGTTTAAAGAGGTTGGATATCTTACCTAGTAAAGAGTGAAGACCGATAAATGGTGGACATGTTTGGTTTGTAACTTTGAAAATAGTTCTCAGAAACTCATAAAACAAATAACAGATTATAATTGGGTTTCTAGAAAACAATATTTAAAAAACTGAATATTTTCAGTTTTTTAATATTTATAGACTTAAATAAGAAAACAAAAATGAGCAATACAGTAATGATATATTTTTTTACCAATGTTTTCACATTTTTAACCTTTATAATTCCGTGTTAGGCACATTTAGTTATTACCATCAATAATAAATGTCCCGTGAGATGGCAAGCCTATGTGTTTAAAGAGACCGGATATCTTACCTAGTAAAGAGTGAAGACTGATAAATGGCGGGCATGTTTGGTTCGTAACTTTGAAAATAGTTCTTAGAAACTCATAAAACAGAAAACAGATTATAATCGGGTTTCTAGAAAACAATTTAAAAAAAACTGAATATTTTCATTTTTCCGAAAACAGAAACTGTTTCAATAGTGTTACAAACAAAGCAAAAATAGTCCATGCACAATTTCTGTCAATAATATTGAACGAGCACTGCTAATACATTGCAGACATGCACAATTGCAGACATGGTAAAAAATATAAACCACCTTCCAAAAGAAAAAGTACAATGGAAAACCCTCTTTCAGAAGCCTCAAATTTAAGCACAAGACCGAAAGGAACACAAGAAAGTTATGAGCACTGCTAATACATTGCAGACTTGCTAAACATTCAGATCCTTACTCTGACAAATATAAACAACATTCCAAAAGAAAACAGAAAAAGGAAAAACGAAGAAGTAAAATGCCATAACCCTCTTTCAGAAGCCTCAAATGTAAGCACAGGCCGAAAGGAACACAAGAAAGATATGGACATGCAGGAACCTGACATTTGTTACTAAAAAATAAACCGAAGAATTTGCATGCAGTATTGAGTTGTTGATACAAATTTTAGAAGCAAACTTTTCGGGATTTCTCTGATCAACATATAAAATCTTGGGAAGTTTCTTGAGTAGTACTAGAAGAGCTTGCCTGGCTGTGTGGTTCCGCTTCTCATCATTGTACAGAACTCTTCATAATTGATCCTCCCATCCTGAAATTTCAATAGTGTGAGTCAAGGTTGCACTATAAACAGCACTAGGTTCCCAAATTGGAAAAAGCAGCTTACATTATCTGTGTCCACTTCCGATATTATTTCTTTGATGGTAGCATCATCGCCCATTTCATATTCTTTCATGGCTATTTCCAGTTCATCTCTCGTGATATACCTGTAATGACATCCAAAAGAAAAAACTTCAATAACTTGAATTCTCAAGTCCTACAAACTCTTTTCCATTTCCAATCAAGTTTTTTGGTCACTTGCAGATAATTACAGACAAAATGCCGACACAATATAATACACAAATGCTTCAAGATCATGAGACCTCATGTTGGAAAAGTAGCTCTGATAACCAACCAATTAATGAATACTCAAACTTTTAAAAAGCCTTGTCACAACTGTTTGGGATCGGGTACATGCATCTCTTACTACTAGAAAGTAGAAACAAAGTTCTAAGATCAAATGACAGGACTGTCTAAAAGTTAGAGATAGTTACAGCTCTTTATTCCTAAAATTAAGAGAAAAGTATACTCTATACTAGGATTGTTTACATGTAGCATTGATATCCGAAAGGGAAAAGGATCAAGTGTACTCTTCTTCAATATGATTTCACAGTGTAGGGAAAGGCAGCATAGATTATGAGACATGATAAAGACACTTACCCACTATTATCCTTGTCAAAATGCCGGAAGGCTTTGTAAAGGTGTTCATCTCTTTCCAGTTTGTGTCTATGCATAGTAGCAGTGATGAACTCGATGTAGTCAATTGTCCCATTTCCATCCACATCAGCCTGAATGTAAAACATTTATCATTTTTGAAGCAACCATTGAATACGAGGTAAGAGTACTAAAAAACTTAATTAAAACAACAAAAGACTTGGCGTTTCAGCATTCAATAATATCTTACAGCTTCCATGAGTTGCTTAACTTCAACTTCAGTGAGCTTCGACCCCAGTCGAGCTAATCCTGTCTTAAGTTCTTCATAAGTGATTGTGCCACTCTTGTCAGTGTCCATACTTGTAAACATTGATTTCAGCCCTTGAATTTCTTCTTCGGAGAGATTTTCAGCAATAACCTAGGATGATTTTCAAATCCACCAAATTTTTAGAGAAAAGACAATATTCAGATCATTATTAAGATAACATGGTCCAAATCCCAAGGTCATTCTTGAAAGAAAATTAATGGTAGCTCAGATTAATGTACAGCCTCCAATAATACAGTAGCATGCTCAAAATAAGAGTCTATTCACAATGTGTCTGGGACCCAAACGAGAGAAAGAGTTTGAGCAGACAAAACAAGGAGAAGAAAGAGATATTTGAGGAACCTTATGAAGAGAGATTTGGGGAACCTTATGAAGAGAGGTAAGCCAAATGAATTCTAGAAGAGTTTCAAATCTAATGCGCAGCCAAAACTAGGGAAAGAAAATTTTGGGGAAGCTTATCCATACAGAAATGAAATGGGTTCCGGAGGCACTTCAAATCTAATTTAAAGATGCAAATATGATTTCAGCTCTATTAATTTTATGACAGTGTGTGACTTCATTAGGGATACAATTGAGAGGAAAAAATGCATATTGGCTACAAACCTCCAGTATGCCTAGTTAATGTCTTGTCAAAGTGATAGCAGTAGAAAATTGATTATGCATTATGGCCAATCACACACCCAAGTAATTTTCGTTTAGGAATATCGTTCACGCCTATGGACCCATAAAACTTGGCCATGCTGACCACAGAAGTCTTCATACCCTTAGTGAGGATATGTAGTGATTCTCATGCCATTTATCATCACTTATAATATAATTGAACTGAAGCACAATTTCTCGGCAGTGCTGATCACCAATGAATCCTTCATAATAGTCTTACTGATTACGAAATTTAGTCGATCTCATGCCCATGTAACATCATATTGTTGTTCTAAGCTAAGAAAAGATTGGAATTTAAGCACATAAATCTTTTAGAATACCTTAAGTGCGAGTTTCTTGAGTTTGTTCATTGCTCGGAATTGCTTCATTCTCGAGAGGACTGCACTGTCTATTGGCTTGTCTGATGCCTCTCCACCTTCTCTAATCCAAGGGTGCTCTAATACAGCCATACAAAATTTGAAAAACTCCATTTAAAAAGTCACAATTGTGTTGCATAACCCAAGCACATAATGCGTCAAGGGAGACACTGTAATGTTTACAACTAAAATGTAACGTATTGGTTGGAAAAATGTATCAGAACTAAAATTGGTGTGTGTGTGTGTGTGTATATATATTTTTTATTTTGAGTTCAGCCTCTTGTATGAAGTCATCAACAAGTTAAGAGTAGAAGGATTCCCATTCACATGCTCTGCTTCTCTCATAACTATATTATTATTCAATGGCTAATTTCTACCTGAATCAATTTTTTGCTATATAATTTGGTAAAATGGACATTTTCATTGTTCCATGTCCTAATAAGTAAATAGTAGGAAATACAAACCAAAGGTTCTGTTAAAACATTTAGGAGAAGTCAAACGATCGAAATATGATCCCCCAACAAAAATTGTTGTAAAATGGCTAGCATAAGTGATATTTCATGTCTAATGATTAATTATGTTGTTAGAGACATACCAAGAACTTGAACAGAAGTAAGTCGGGTTTTGGGGTCAAGCGTCAGCATCTTCTTGACCAAGTCCTTTGCACTACTTGAAATAGATGGCCAAGGTTGACTTTCAAAGTCAATTTCCCCTTTTAAAATTTCATTAAATATTCCTTTCTCCGTTTCTGCAATGCACATTTGTTACGAATATATGAGTCAACATCTCTAAAAGCAATTTCTATTAAAGCCCAGGTGTTGGACAATATCATTTTCTAGCAGAAAGATAATAGATTTATGACTTTACCGGCCCAGAAGGGAGGCACGCCACATAGTAAGATATACAAGATAACCCCTGCACTCCAAATATCTATCTCCTTTCCATAGCTACGCCGCAACACTTCAGGAGCAATATAGTAAGCACTCCCAACTATATCATGATACACCTTCCCTGGAAAGGGTTTCATTTATCAATTAAATAAAAAACATAATAGCTATATGAAATATCAGATAAAGTTTAGAGTAAACATATGCATTTCATCTTCTAAGGAACATAATAATTGGTTAAATCTTTTTTAAAGACCAACAGCTTCCAAATGTACTTTAAAACAAAATTCAAAGGCATGCCATCTTTGGTTAAAATAAAGAAATCATATGATTATAGGTAGGGTGAATCTACTAAAAGGGAGAGACAAGAAATTTGTTGACAATAGGAAGTACAATATCTCTACCAAGAATAAAGATATTATGAGTCTATATTATGATCTAATTGGAATTTGTTAGTACATTCTCATGATTTTTTTTTTTTTTTTTTTTTTTTTTTTTTTGTGTATTGTTTTTGGTGGGTTGTGGGGAGGGAGGGAGATATCAGATATATCACATCAACAGTGAGCAAATATACAATGGGTTCTGTGGGCCAAATCAAACACTAGAATAGTATATATATTTATGCACACAACAAAGTATTCACAAGACAAAATTCGAAAGCTTGGTCCAAAATATCTATAGAATTTCAGTTAGTTGGCAGGGATATCAGATATATAATATCGACATTGAGCAAAGATACAATGGGTTCAGTACAACGTGGCTAAAGAATGCCATATCAAGTACTAGACTACATATATATATATATACACACACACCCAAATATAATTCACAAGACAAAACTTTAAAAGCTCGGTTCAAAATATTTAAGAATTTCAGTTAGTTTGGAAGTAAGACAATATGAAATTTCCAAGTTCGGATGTTGAATTTCGCTCCCTTACAATCAGATTTCACATGTTATCTTTAAGGTGTTGTCTAGTTGACAAAACAATTTAGGGAAAGGTGAAAATTTAGTTTCTTTAAGAAAGTTGAAGTTTTTTCTAAAATTGTTGTAGATAATTTGGAAGAATGTGTTTAGACAAGGGGAAATGTTGCATTACATCATGGGTAAGTAGCTATTTTCATTCAAGAGAAGTGTCACAGCTAGTACCGACTGCCAGTAGCAACCCTCATTCCCCAATTTAATAATGGCTTTCACTGACCAAACCTTTTGTTAAGGATGATATATCATGAAATAACATGCCATGGCATGGCCTCCATAGAAACACAAATAGTCTCTCTCAGTAACAATCGCCTACATTAGATAACACAATTAGATCTAGAAGCAGGATGACTTTAGAGTTAAAGTCCCAAAGTAGAATAGATTATGTCATAAACATAGTCCCAAAGTAAAATAGAGAGCATTATGGACATTTTGGAACTTCTCAGCCAGAGATAAGTTAAATAACACAGTAACTTACAATGTTATGCAACAAATATCTAAAATACAATACATTTAAGGTGGAGAAGCAAGACATGGATCTACGTAACATTTGAGTCAATGTATTGACAATCTATTCAATCCAACATCAACTTAAAGATCCAAAACTATATAAAATACAATACATTTAAGGTGGAGAAGCAGAGACATGGATCTACTTAATATTTGAGTCAGTGTATTGACAATCTATTCAATCCAACATCAACTTAAAGATCTAAAACTCTAGACTAAAAGTTCATCCAAATCATGAAAAAGAAATGACAACATAACAAATTAATATACCTTCTTCAATGAAGACTGATAACCCAAAATCAGTTGTCTTCAAACGAGCATTTTCGCTCTTGTCAGACAACAAGAAATTCTCAGGCTTGAGGTCCCGGTGCATCACGCCCATAAAATGGCAGACGTGCACCACATTTACAATGGCCCTGCATATTGAAGCCGCGGCCCTTTCACTATAATGCCCCTTTGCAATAATCCGATCAAAGAGCTCTCCCCCGGCACATAGCTCCATCACAAGATGGACAGATTGTCTATCCTCATAAGCACCCTTAAATTCAACAATATTGGCCTGCCCAGTCAGATGCTGCATAATTTGGATCTCTCTCTTCATATCCTCCCTGTCATTCTTGGAAACTAGCTTCCTTTTGGATATAGACTTGCAAGCATATTGCTGACCAGTTGAATTCTCAGTGCACAGATATGTGACCCCAAATTGACCTCTACCTAGTTCTTTTCCAATAGTATAGAATGACTTAATATCTTCAAATGGTTTCCCCAGAATGGTATCTGGCCTGTGGACTACTGGTTTGGAGCTCGGCGCCGGCTTTTTCCGCTGCACTCCGGCTGCAGGCTGCCTTCCAGGTAATTGTTGGGCAGGAATTGTGTTCTGCTCCTGTATTGCAGGTTCTTGAAGTTTTTGGTAACTCATCCCAGCACCATCACCACTTCCTGATCTATGATCATTAGAATTTGATCCTCCAATTCTGCCTTTGCTTAGACAAATACCCATTTCTCTTTGTTGCCCAATCTACCACTTCTAGAGTGAAAATACCCAAATGAGTAGCTGAGAATATCTGTGACTGTACAGTAACAAAGAAAAAGAAAAAGAAAAAGAAAAAGAAAAAATTAAGTACAAAAAGAATCAAAACCCTGATGAAAATTTAGAAGAATTATGCAGAATTTCAGGGGATAAATACATCAATTATGAACATAAATGAATTTACTGGGAAAAAAGTTGATAAATGATGAAACCTAGATTGAGATACAGAGGGTATAATTAAAAAGGGCATTTGAAAGGAGTTACGGATATGAAGCTGAAAAAGATACGGGTAAAAACCCAGTCAGCTGATTCTGTAAGTAGAAATGTTATTTAATCATTCATACTCACTTCACAAAGAAGCAGCAACAAGAGAACTGAGATACCTTTCAAAAAAAATAAAAAAAATAAAAAACAAGAGATCTGAGAAGAGATGAATCTGCTGGTGAGGTGAAGACAAGTAGAAAGCACCTAATTGGCTAATAATACCTTTATATTCCTTTTAAATATCTAGGAGATGGAATCCTCTGCACTGTCACCAATCACCATCAAATCGCGACAATTCTTGGCAATTATTTGAATTTTATGAAATAAATTTAAATATTACGTCCCAATATACTTGCCTATCATCGTATTTTAGATGTTATTGCAGTCTTTATTCTAAAAATGGATATATTATTTTTATAATATTTTCAAATTTTCATTTTAACCAAAATAAGTGCACTAATTATAAAACATCAGTCCCAAATAAAATAACTATCTTTTCCTTCCGGAATGTCCCAAAATAATTATTTACTTTCCTTTTTCAAACAACATATTAAACATCTTTTCATATATGTTTTTGAAATTTAAAATTTTAAAGTTGAATATTTAAAACATAAAAGGACAAGTTAATAACTTTGTAAGGGACAATGCATGTCCCACATATCAATTAAAAATTTCTACTTTCGATACTTAAATTGAGAAAGAGACAATAATAAAAAAAAAATTATTAAATTTCACTATCATAATAAGTTAGATTCTCCAAACATGTCAAATATTTTGGAACTATAATAAAATATATGTGTATGTGTAGATATATATATAGAGAGAGATAGTAATATTATGTAAGAAAAGAAGTAACACTTTCACAAAATAAGAGAGAGCGAAAGACAGAGACAGAGAGAATGAAAGAGCGAGTAAAAGGGGGAATGAAAACCTTTTCCCACACACATTAAAACATTACATATGCATAGCCTTATATAGGCGTACAGGTAAGCTTCCCTAAGAAGCCACTAAATGCAATCTTCCTTTGTGAGACTAAAATCTTGATGTCATGGATGATGCAATATATTGTGGACCCCACTCATTTATTAGATATATACATAGCACTCCCCCTTGGGGTCCACAAAATTACACTAAGAATATGCCTCGTTAAAACCTTGCTAAGGAAAACCCAATGGGACAAAACCCTAGCGAAGGAAAAGAGTACAGTATTCTTATGTATTTAAAAATGGTATTGCATAGATTAAAACTGTCTCATTAAAACCTTGCCAGGAAAACCCAGTGGGATAAAACCTGGACGAAGGAAAAAGAGTACAGTATGCCAATACCTCTTCAATCAATTGCTCCCCCTCATTAGATCAACCCTGAAGATCCTTTAGTTGACGCATTCCAATGTTGTGCACCAGCTTCTTGAATGTTGTAGTTGGAAGCGTTTTAGTGAATAGATCTGCTAGATTTTCACATGAACGTATCTTCTGAATATCAATGTCACCCTTTTTCTGGAGTTCATGTGCATAAAAGAATTTTGGTGAGATGTGCTTCGTCCTGTCACTTTTAATATACCCTTCCTTCATTTGTGCAATGCATGCCGCATTATCTTCATATAATACTGTTGGGCTTTCTTTTATTGATGAGAGACCACATGTTGTTCGAATATGTTGGATCATTGATCTCAACCAAAAGCATTCCCTGCTTGCCTCATGAATTGCGAGTATCTCAAAATGATTTGAAGAAGTTGCAATCATTGTCTGTTTCATTGATCGCCATGATATAGCAGTGCCGCCACAAGTAAACACATATCCTGTTTGTGAATAAGCTTTATGTGGGTCAGAAAGATAGCCGGCATCTGTATATCCAACTAATGGAGACTTTGGTGCCATCGAATAAAACAAGCCCATATCAGTTGTGCCATGAAGATATCGCAGTATGTGTTTGATTCCATTCCAATGTCTGCGGGTTGGTGCAGAACTGTACCTTGCTAATAAATTGACTGAAAAAATTATGTCAGGTCTTGTGCAATTTGCAAGATACAAAAGAGCACCAATCGCACTGAGATAGGGCACTTCAGGACCAAGGATTTCTTCATCATCCTTTCTAGGACGAAAATGATCTTTCTTGATATCAAGTGATCGGACAATCATGGGAGAGCTCAATGGATAGGCTTTGTCCATATGAAAACGTTTCAGAATCTTTTCTATATATGTTGATTGATGGATCAGAATACCGCTCGAAAAATGTTCAACTTGCAACCTAAGGCAGTATTTTGTCTTTCCGAAATCTTTCATTTCGAATTCTTTCTTTAAATAAGTAGTCGTCTTTTTGATCTCGTCCAATGTTCCCACAAGATTCAGATCATCAACATATACTGCAACAATAACAAAACCAGATTCTGATTTGTTAATAAAAATGCATGGAGAAATATGATTGTTTACATACCCTTCTTTGATTAAGTAATTGCTAAGGCGATTATACTACATTTGTCCAGATTGCTTTAATCCATATAAGGATCGCTGTAATTTTATCGAGTACATATGACGTGGTTTTGTTTTAGGCATTTTAAATCCTTCTGGGATTTTTATATAAATATCACTATCTAGTGATCCATATAAATATGCTGTAACCACGTCCATTAAATGCATATGCAATTTTTCTGTGACTGTTAAGTGTATTATGAATCTAAAAGTAGTTGCATCAATCACAGGGGAGTATGTTTCCTTAAAATCAATACCAGGTCTTTGTGAGAAACCTTGAGCTACAAGTCGGGCTTTGTATCTTACGATTTCATTTTTCTCATTACGCTTTCGTACAAACACCCATTTGTACCCAACATGATTAACACCCTCAGGTGTCTGGACTACTGGTCCAAATATTTCACGTTTAGGTAATGAATTTAGCTCTGCTTGTATTGTTTCTTTCCATTTTGGCTAATCATTTCTTCATCGACATTCTTCAACGTTTTGAGGTTCCGGATCCTCATTTTCAATATCAAGAGCAACGAGATATGAGAATATGTTGTCGACAACAATTTCCTTTCTATTCCCTCTCGTTTCATAATTTAATGAGATCTTATTATTTTCAGGTACCTTTGCCTCATCAAGGGCCATATCATCATTTGTTACTTTTGCCTCATCAATATTTATGATTTCATCATTTTTAGGTACCTGAGACTCATCAAGAGCCTTTACTTTATCAAAAGCTATTATCTCAGATTGATCAATAATATCTGTTGCTCTTTTTATAGCTTCTTTATGAGTGCCGGCTTTTCTTTGTGATTTCCTCTTACGAGGAACAATATCTTTTGCACCGACTGGTCTACCACGCTTTAGGCGTGTTTTAGATACATTTGCTGCATTACTGACAGAAGGTCCCTCAGGGACAGCAATTCGTGCTGGCACATTTGCAGCTGGTATATGTGATTTTATCACTTTCTTTGTATCAGTAAATGCATCAGGTAATTGATTTGCAACATTTTGCAAGTGAATGATCCTCTGAACTTCTCGTTCACATTGGTTTGTACGAGGATTAAAATGAGACAATTCCAGGGCATTCCAAGTAAGATCACGTTGCTGCTGTGCCTTTTCTCCCACTAATGGTGGGAAAACAGTCTCATCAAAATGACAGTTAGCAAATCGTGCTTTAAAGACATCACCTGTCAGGGGTTCAAGATATCTAATAATAGATGGAGAATCAAAACCAACATAAATTCCAAGTCTATGTTGAGGACCTATTTTAGTGCGTTGGGGGTGGTGCAATTGGAACATATACAGCACAACCAAAAACTCGTATGTGAGAAATATTTGGTTGTTGACCAAAAACAAGTTGCAATGGTGAGTACTTATGATAAGTAGTTGGTCGTATACGAACTAATGATGCAGCATGCAATATGGCATGACCCTAGGCAGAAACAGGTAATTTTGTTCACATAAGCAAAGGACGACCAATTAACTGAAGTCTTTTAGTAAAAGATTCAGCCATACCATTTTGAGTATGAATGTGTGCAATAGGATGTTCAACATTAATTCCAACTGACATGCAATAATCATTAAAAGCTTGAGAAGAAAATTCAGCGGCATTATCAAGACGGATTGTCTTAATTGGGTAATCAGGAAAGTGTGCCCGTAATTTGATGATTTGAGCAAGAAGTTTAGCAAATGCAACATTACGAGTAGAAAGTAGACAAACATGTGACCATCGTGTTGATGCATCAATTAAGACCATAAAATAACGAAATGGTCTAGAGGGTGGATGAATTGGCCCACATATATCCCCGTGAATTCGTTGTAAAAATGGAGGAGACTCAACAATGACTTTTGAAGGGGGTGGTCTGATAATCAACTTACCTTGTGAGCAGGCGGTGCATAGATGATTATTTGGTACTCCCTGGGTGACCAAGTCGATCATGCCGAAGCATAAAAAATTTTGGGTCACAAGATTTTTTATGGATCACAACATTTGACTCAATTGTTCTAATGGTTGTATAGTATAATCCAGAAGAGAAAACAGGGAGTTTCTCTAATATCAGTTTCTTGCCTGAGGTAATGGAAGTAATGTAGAGATATTCCACATTTCTTTCATTTACAGTCTCAATATGATACCCATTACGACGCAAATCTTTAAAACTCAATAGATTTCTCCGAGATCTTGTAGAATATAAGGCATTATCGATTTGTAATCTTGTTCCATGTGGTAAAATGATGTTGGCTCGTCCGGAGCCTTCAATCAAGTCGGTGGGACCTGATATGGTACTGACACTGGCGTCTGTCAGAGTTAAGTGGGAAAAATATTTTTGATCTCGAAGGATTGTATGTGTTGTATCACTATCTGCAAGACATATGTCTTCATCATTTATTTTGGAACTAGTCAGATCCATTCCTATTCATGCAAAATTTTTTTTTTTTGTTATCAGAAAAGAAACTTTTATAATAAAGGAAACTTTAATACAAACGAGAAAATAAACACTTTAATACAAGGAAAATACAAGGAAAATAGAAACATAGTAGACAGAACATGAAAAAAAAAAAAAAGCATAAGATTAACTGGTGTGGACATTTCCATCACCAATCAGGAAGTCTATCCTTCCATCATGATCATCAAAAAAATCTGATACATCCAGATTGGTGATGTTAACTGGCTCATCATGATTAATGAAATTCATTTCCAGATTTGTGGTGTCAACTGGCTCATCATGATCAAGGAAATTCATTTCCTTTTGTTTTCCCTTTTCTTTCATTGAGGCTTGGTAAAGATCAGCCAGATACTTCGGTGTACGACATATATTTTGCCAATGCCCTGTCATGCCACACCGATAACAAGTATTATCGTATGTCTTGGAAGGTTGAGGCACATCCTTCCTTTTTACTTGTCTCATTTCATTATGATCTTTCCTTTGAGGGTATGATCTTTCCTGTGAGGATTGATATCCTTCACGATAATAAGAATGATTTCTACCACGACCATATTCATTATTGTGGAAGTTATTTTTGCCACGACCATATTCATTTCTACCACCACGACCACATCCGCGTCCACGTCCGCGTCCACGACCACGGGATGAGGCACGTCCATGTCCGCGTCCACGACCACGGGATGAGGCAACATATGTTTCAGGGATCGGTGTCGATCCAGTTGGACGGGACTGGTGGTTTCTCAACAAAAGCTCATTATTTTGCTCTGCCACCAGCAAACATGATATCAGCTCTGAATATTTTTTAAACCTACGCTCTCAATATTGTTGTTGCAAGAGTACATTCGAGGCGTGAAATGTGGTGAATGTTTTTTCTAGCAAAAGTTTATCAGTAACAGTATCACCACATAATTTCAATGTAGAACTGATTTTGAATAGAGCAGAGTTATATTCAGCCATAGTTTTAAAATCTTGCAATCTCAGTTGCAGCCAATTAGCCTTGGCCTTTGGGAGGATGACTGTTTTTTGATGATCATATCTTTTTTTCAAATTATTCCACAAACAAAGTGGATTTCTTTCAGTGAGGTATTCAGTTTTCAGTTCCTCACTAATATGGCGCCGGAGAAAAATCATGGCCTTTGCTTTATCTTGCAATGATGCCTCATTGTTTTCTTTAATTGTATCACCAAGGCCCATGGCATCCAAATGGATCTGAGCGACCAGAATCCAAGATAAATAATTTTTGCTAGAAATATCCAGGGCCACGAATTCCAGCTTTATCAAATTTGACATTTTCAGAATAACCTTTGGAGTCATAAATATTATTTTCTCTGATAAAGCAAACCAACCCAACAATCTATCAAAACTAATACACAAAATAGATATATAGTTGGGATAGAAAGAGGGAGAGAAAACTTTCTTCTTCAAATCTCAGATGGATAGCTCGTGCTGATAACGTATAATAAAATATATGTGTATGTGTAGATATATATATATATAGAGATAGTAATATTATGAAAGAAAAGAAGTAACACTTTTACAAAATAAGAGAGAGCGAAAGACATAGACAGAGAGAATGAAAGAGCAAGTAAAAGAGGGAATGAAAACCTTTTCCCACACACATCAAAACATTACATATGCATAGCCTTATATAGGCGTACAGGTAAGCTTCCCTAAGAAGCCACTAAATGCAATCTTCCTTTGTAAGACTAAAATCTTGATGTCATGGATGATGCAATATATTGTGGACCCCACTCATTTATTAGATATATACATAACAGGAACAAAGGGTTTATAATTTTTGGTCTCTTTTGACAATAATGGGTTGAACTTGATAGACTATTACATAATTCATCAGTAGGCATGTACAATTCTTTCTACGTACAGAGTAAAAAAAAAAATTCAGTGGGAGCACATTGTACACTAAATATATATAAATTACTATTTTTTTTTTCAATGGGGGTACATTGTACATTATATTCTATAGTGTTTATGGAATATATATACATAAAAGACATAAGTGGATATATATATAGTGATTGATTTATTTGGATGAGATAAATTAATAAATTACGTATATAGAATTTAATGAAACAATTTCATAAAGAAAAAATATTTAAGAAAACACATATAGTATACAAGGGAAGAAGAAATTTGAGGGGGCATTTTTACACATTTCAAAAAATATATAAATATTATAGAAAAATATATATTTATAATAAGGGAAGGAAAAAATCTAGGGGGACAGGTGCCCCGATCCTATTTTGGTTCCGTCCTGGTTCTTTCACCTTATAATTAAAAAAATATGGGAGAGAAGATTAGAACTTTAAAAAGGGCAAAGTTGGTTGGATTAACCTTATTATTATTATTATTTTGTGAGGAGTGCTAATTGGTTAGGAATCCTAAAATTATACACTAATTAATTGAATTTCTCCCACCAGTATGAACTATTTAAAATATAAATATTTTAACAAAAGTGCCTTTTTAACACTTTATCCTCTCTCCTCACTAGGATGCCAAAACACACACACATATATATATGGACAATACTTGCCTACTCACCGGTGAGTAGGAAGTTCATACTTACCCTGATGTGGCACAAAATTAGTGAAACACGTGTCAGTACAATATAATATAGTAATAAAAAAAAGATTTGAGAGGTTATTCCGATTAAACCTAAAAGGATCCTAATCTCCCTCACGCTATTCTTTTTTGTCCAGAGAGTGAATAAGAAGGGGATCTTGTCCAAAAAATACACATTTTAATTGGGTGTACTTTAGATAAAAAATAATTGATAAGTATATATAAACATTACGCATTAAACCATGAAAGATAAAAGTCAAAACTTTCAGTATTAGCATATCAGGGTTTCAGCGGAGTAGTTTGAGAGAAAGAAAGAGAGTGAGAGTTAAATTAGGATTTGATTTGCATCCTTTTGGGTTGACCCGATAGGCAATCAATTTTTTTTAATTTTTATTATTTTCTATTTTAGGGACACTTGTCATATTACTTTTGCGCCACATCAAGGGTAAGCATAAATTTCTTACTCACCGATGAGTAGACAAATATTGTCCTATATATAAATACCTAAATTCTTTTCTTCTTCTTCTTTTTTTTTTTTTATTTTTTTTATTTTTTTATTTTTAGATTGAGTATCCATATATAGAAACAGCTAATTTCTTTTTTGTGTATCTATCTCTATTATGAATCCATAGTATATATATCGACTTTTAAATAAATAAAGAAAGAAAAGTATCCAATCCCAGCAATAATTTTATAAAAGAAAAGAAAAGAAAAAGAATATAATCATAATCCATTATGAGAATGTTATCTCTATTATCAATATAGATATATATATATATATATATAGATATATATATATATATATATAATTAAATATACACTTGTATATAGCTAAAAGACAATTAAAAAAAGAAAGAAATAAAAGAATCTATTTCCAGCCGACAATTAAAAAAAAAAAAAAAAAGAAAAGAGAGAGAGAGAAAAAGAAAGAAAATAATCATAATTAATTATAAGAATGTTATATATATTTATATATGTATAAAATCAAGAAGAAATAATTAAAAGGACACTTTTGTCCTATAAATTTATATTTTAAATGTAGCAGGAGACATTCAATTAATTAACGTGCAATTTTAGAAATTATAACACGAATGGACATGTGGGCCATGTATTATTCCGGCAAAGTTACTAACTTGCGGTTTAAGTTTTGAATATTCAAGTTTGAAATTTTAAACTCCAAGGACATATATAAAATGATGTAAAATATATTGTTTGAAAAAAGAAAAGAGACATTTATTTTGGGATTTTTGAAGGAGAGGGAGTATAAAAAATATATATAATTGATTTTTATTTTTTGGCATTGATTAGCCTATTAAGTTGAATAAAATTAAACAATTTTTATAAACAAAGAAAATGATATTCAGTCCAAAGGACATAACGCCTGTACTTCACAAAAGTAGCCTTTGCTAGTATTATCTATTGTTGGTTGGTTGGGTTACGTACTTATTCTTGATTTTTCTCTCCTTTTCGCTTGGGTGTGAAAGCATTTGTACTCTATTTTGAATGTCCTGTTTCGAATTGTGAAGGGTTTGTAAGAGTATGAGATTTCATATAATTATCCAACTTTTTGTGGTAATAAATTTATCTGAAAAAATAAAAAGTATTCTGTAGGGGTTCTTTTTTATGAGAGTAATAAATAAGTATATAATGGTGATATCAAAGGGACAATTGTGAAGGAAAACAAAGAAGATGCTTGGAGGAGGAGGAGGAGGAGGATGATGAGGATGAGGCCAATCGTCAAGACTGAGATGGTGGTAGAACAAGCATACAGTATTTTATGACAGCTCTTTTCTGGTTGATTATTCTTTAATGGGATAGTGTTATTTATAGGCTGGATTCCATTGGTTTTTAACCAATGGTCCCTCGCATGCATGGCTCCTAGTCAAGATCACATGGGTAGTCCTGATAGGCCTAGGAGTCTGAGAGATCCAATCCTCTCATCGAGCCTTACATTATGTTGCTATGTTGTTTCTCCCCCAATTGGGGCATTAAATGTTGCTTGGCCGCCGGTTGGTAAAGCCTGACATAGCATTAAATGTGATTTTAAAGTTTTCTGTCATAATGTGTATGATCCCATCATCTTGTTGATTGGGCCTCGCTCGGAGCGAAGGCATTTCTTTACTTCTCATCCACCAATCCAAGATCCTCCTAAGTTTCCCAAATTTAGATCCCTCATAGCTGCGAAGGCCCTACCTTCGTTTCGTGCTATGTCTGGACCTATTGCATTTTGTAGGCGAGCTTTCTAGGGCTCTAGTCTTTTATTGTGTTATGAAGAGATGTACCTGGTGTGGCGCCAGGGTTTAAGGTGCTCAGGGGTTAAGCCTTTGAGACTTTGTGTACCTTGCGCGATGCCAGGGTTTTGAGGTACTCGAGAGTTAAATTCTCGAGACTCGGTAGGCCTAGCATGGTGCCAGGGCTTAGAGTGCTCAAAGTTTTATTCCTTGAGGCTTAGTGGGCCTAGTGCAGTGTCAGGGCTTTGAGCGCTTGAAGTTTTAATCCTCGAAACTTGGTAGGCCTGGTGCTGTGCCAGGGCTTTGAGATGTGTAGACACCCAATTTTGCCCCTACCTATTTGTAGGGGTATTCCGGTAAAACTAGTTTGGCCAAGTTAGGAAAATTAGAAAATTCAACCACCGGATCATAAAATGGATGTCACCATTGGATCCGGAACGTCCCAAAACCATAAGATACACCTAGAGTCCACTTCATAAAGCGACTTCTTGCACTCCATCAAGATAGGGACAAAATCGTAATTTTGCACACATAAGCCGTTCAAGTTTGATTGAAACTCGAAAAGTGGTCTAATTTGGCATCCAAATGGAAAAATGGACCTTGTATCTAGTGTACATTAAAACCTTAAAGTATAAATAATAATAATAATAATAAATAGTAAATAAAAATATATTAATATAATAAAGGGAAATAAATAATAAAATATTAATCATAAATATATATATAAGCAAACTGGGCCGCATGTATTTGCGACCCCACCTTTTCTATATTGAACTTATATAATATATATAATAATAATACTATAATTATATATATATAATATCTATATATATAATAACACAACTGTGAAGTTTATCCACAATTATTAAAGGTTCTGGGCAAACAAAACTAAAGGGGTTGCAAGTTGTGCTTGTCACCCCACCTTTGGTATTTTATATTATACTTATTGCATCAATATGTATTTTATGTCTATTTGTGATTACATCAATATGTAGCCTTCGAGCCGTCGTAGCCTTTTTGAGTGAAGACCTCCAGCGTACACAAGTCGGAGTTTCGCAAGCCATGTGGAGAGGCCGTTTTTGAGCTGCTTTGGCAACCCGAGTAAACTCTACAATCTTATTGGCAACCAAGGTTCATGGTTTTTTTGGGCTTGGTGTAGTGATGTAATATCTCTAATTTTAAAAGGATAGTCTTGGTATTTTATTTAATTATTTTAATTACTTTTTATTTGATTAATTGTTTATTTAATTGAATTCTTTGTTTATTGCATTTCTTTGTTTATCTGCTTCTTTGCACTTGATTATTCATTAATTAAATTGATTGTTTTAATTCTTTATTTACTGTAAATTGTATTTAGTAAATTAGTTGTGTTAATTGTTTAAATGGTTTATTTGTTTTTATTGTGATTAAATGAATTAATTGATTTATTTGGGTAAATTAGTTTTACTAATTAATTAAAGCATAGTTAGGGTTTTGGAT